TTATATGACAAAAGTATATAAGCAGTCCAAAATATTGACCTTGTTTTATACATGAATCACCTTAAATGCCAATATATATGATATTTCCCAGGCCCTCCAAAATGTCAAATATTCCATACAGTTTTAAAAAATCTTCATGGTGGCAGAATAAGCTGGAGTAAATAGGATTCCAGCACCAGCAGTACATATACCCTCCAGTGGAACAGGATTCACTTGGTCCTATTTAGTTGCCTCCTCTGGATTTCTAAAGAACTGCCAGGGAACCACAGTAATCACAATAACTTCTTGGCAAAGTAGCTGTGAAAAGTGTTGGAAGGAGGTAATATTTCCCCTTTCTGGCTTAGCTGCAAACTCGGGGGAGTGTGAAAAGCTTGAGGACAGCGGAATCTCTCAGTTCAACACTTAAAATTATTTTATTAAGTGGGATATACTGTCCTTCCCTCTTTCTGTGCACCTACTTCTTGTGCAAATGGGTTCTTCTTTCCCCTTTGTAGTACTTTCTTCCAGTTCTTGTCAAATGTGTGAAAATTAGTATGCAGTCTCACCTTGTCAGTATGTTACCTACTCTAACTCAGAATTCCCTTTGATAGCCGAAACATACAACAAACTGACCAAGAAAGACTGTATGTATCTTACAGCTCAAAGTGCTTTTCAGAACACTTGCAAAAACCTGACAAAATAATTAAAAAATGAATGCATTTCTACAATTTTCAAGTCCCTCCCCTGATGACTTCTCAAAAATGACAGTTCTGGCACAGACAGGATCATGAAGAGTGACAGAGGGTTTACTGCTTCTGCTAAGTGACTTTGTAGCCAGTTCCAAGAACCCCTTCCAGGTTCATATGGCACAACAACCCATTGTGACACAAGCAACCCCTACAATAATCCATGGGTTGTCAGGGTCAGTTTACATCTTGTATAAAGTGGCCTGTTTTCTCTGAACGCAACAAACCCACATGGCTTACTGCCTTCCATGGGTTGTCATGTCATGCAAATCGGGTCAATATCTTTCAAAGATTTCTTTCTAGGTATACAGTCTCATACTTTGTCATTATTGCACTGAACATCTTTTGCCTTCTACAAATTAAAAATTGATACAGATTTCCAATACTTTCTCCCCCACCACATGCAACAAGATTGATGATTTTACTTTATCGTGTATTTCTTCAGCATCTACAGCGACCAGACAAAAGTTTACATTTTTTGCCTGAATTTTTCCTCAGTTTTTTACAACATTGTTAGGTATGTGTAGACTTGAAGGAGATTGCAAAAGCTTCATAATTAACTTTATGTTCTTAGGCTGTAGCCAGTTCTAGATGGACAGATGCCAAGATGTTGAGTCAGTCCCCTGACATGGTGTTCTGAAGTAAAGCCTTCATCCTCTTCAGAGTGGAGAATCTCTGCTTCACTTCTGCCATTCCCATTGGAGGATCAATTCAGGTTCCCAGAACTGTCACTCTTTAAAGTTCTCCAAAAGCAGGCAGTAGAGGTGGAAGCTACCTTTCAAGTGTTGAATTCTGTCCTTCTTCATTTGTTCTCAGTCTGCCCTTCTTCAAGTCAGGAAAAACTGTAGGCTGTTACAGCTTCGCTTAATCCCTGCTGCAGGAATATCTCCTTGTATACTGGAGATGAACTCTCATGCACAATTGTTACACAAAGAGATGACTGGTGAATTTGAAACATTCCTTGATGTGTGCAGCAATAATGCTTAATGCAATTGGATGCACGTTCACCTTCATTTTGCTTCAGAGCAGCTGAGTTCCTTGAAGAGCAAGGTTCTAATGACCTAACCAAACTGTCTGCATTTACAAAGTAGCTCTCCTTACTGTTACAGAATTAGTGGCCAAATCTCTAGAGTAGAAGGTATCTGTGGAATAGCAGCAGTGCTGGGAAGGAACTTGTAGGAAATCACTGTCTGCTTGCAGCATCAGAAGAAATTCCCTAGCTTCACGAACACAGTGTTTTTCAAACTTCCAAGCTGTGATTTCCTCAAATTGTTCTGTTACGTTTCTGACTCAGTGAATGAGATTAACAAGTCCTCTGAAAATTCCTGAATTTTCTTTGTGACCAGGAGGTGCCAATTCAAAAGTTCCATAGAACTATATGTAGTGGATAGGTTACAAGGGAAAGACAAAGTCACAGACTGAGTCAGAGAATGTCCAGAAAAAATGCATGAGGGAACAGTTTGTTAGGGGCAAGATGATTTGGGAATTCAACGAACTGGGCATAAAGGCCACAGCCCTTGTGCTTTCTTTGACCTCTCTTAACTGGTACACAGTTATGCTGCTTTTGAAAAATGGAGATTCCATTATCATGAATTATCATATCCTTTAATAGACAACTTTTCCATGGATGAGTCCAATCTTTTCTAAAAAAAAAAAAAAACCAAAATCCTTAAAACATCATGTGTCATTGGTTCACATTAATTAATTATAAATAGCAGAAATTAGGGAGGGATTAGGATGAAAAATTTGGAGCAAGGTCAAGAAATTGGTTTATTTATAACCTTCCTTTCTTCCTACCAAGAACCCAAGGCAGCTTACAATAATCCTTACCATTTTATCCTCACAACAGCTGTGAGGTAGGGTAGGCTGAAGTCCCTCAGTCAACTTATTCAAGTAGGGATTAGAACCTGGTCTCCAGTCCAACACTTAAATCACTACACCACAATGGCTCTTGCTGGGATACTGAGAAAACTTTTATACAATGGAAAGTGAAGGGTTTTCTCCTCCTCTAATGCCAACTGTTTAAAGCTGTTAAACAGTTTGATTGGCTTCTCTGTGCCCAGACCACTCCCCACTCCAGCCCTCTGCTCCCAGGAAAGAACATTCACACACCTAGAGGCAAACTGAGATGGGGGGCACAAGCCCTGTATCTCATCTTTAGCCATGGAACCCAAATGCATAAGGCATGGGATATTGCATTTTAATTTATAAAAGAATCCAGAATGATCTATGCAGAAGCAATTAACTTTACACACAAATGCTTTGAAGTACTCTGAAATGTCAAAAGCACTCTGCATGATTTAGCTTTGTCATAGGACTGCACTCACCAACCAGTTTATACTGGAGTAGCCTTGGATTGTTTCTATATATGTCAATAAGATATTAGTGCAACTACATCAAATTGACTTACATTATTGATAGATTCAATTTTTCTCACTCCAGTCTCATTTACAGGAGCTTCCTTACATGGAAAAGTTTTCCTATATGTTTCATTAGGAACTTATGCTGCTGCCTTGTCCAATTTGTCTGTTTAGTCCAGTATTGCCAAACCTGATTGACTCTTGCTCTTCAGCAGAGGTTCTGCTACAAGTTTCTTTAAACATGAGATAACATGCATTGAATGTATGACTTTCTTGTGTTTGACCACTGAGTAATGGTCTCTCCAAAGAAGGATGTCAAATACTGACAAATATCTTGGTTGAGGAGCTCCATGTGAGAGAACAATTTGTGTCACTTAATGTATATAGCTCTCTGTATAAGTACAACTAAACAGTACAATTATAAATATTTACCAGTTCATGACCTAATATTTTATTCATAAAAAAAGTTTCTGTGATGTAACTTTGCCAGTTGCGAGTGAGCATGGAAAGAATGGAAAGATGCTGACCTGCAAACCCATCAAAAAGCATCAGTTCTTAACTGAAAAGCCGACAGACCCATAACTAGAATAATGCTTATAGACTACACTATAATCTGACTATATGTTTAGAGTAATTTGCCTAAGTAGCTTGCTTAGACAGCAGCATTGTATAATATATTAGCTGAAGCAAGAACTGTAACTAGTTCTTGCAGCATTTTGTTTGGTAGATGGATAGCTTAGGTGAGCTGGAAGATACATTGAAAATTAAATAGTTAACATAAGTTTAGCATACAGTTTTCTGCTACATTTGGCAGTAGGATTCTAGATCTGCAGTTCCAAAACTGAATGCCTAGATGTATTATAGCATTATAGCTATATGATCCATTTAAATTTATCTTTACATATCTGTGGAAGATTTGGGGGGGTGCAAAGTTTGATATTTTGCCAAGCACTTCAACACGATAAATGAAAATACAATATAAACTTCAAAAACTGCTTTAAATAAATTTAATTTTATCTTAAATACAAATTCATAATGTGGAGAACACAATAGAAAAGAAAGACTGTTCTGTTGCATTGGTCCAGATTACTTTATAGCTGAATTTGTTAGCTAATCATTCAGAATGCTGTATAAACAAATTAAGGTAGATGTGTGATTTCAATAGGAACTGTTGGGTGTATGTATCTGTGTGTTCACCTCTGTCTAAATGTTTTATCCTGGGTAGAAGATGGGTAAGGACTGGTTGTCCTTTAATAGGCCAACCAAAATATCATAAAAATTGATCTCCAGATTTCTTCATCAGAATAGATGTTAAAAAATGGTTTTGTTGGCAGGAGAAATGAAGGAAAAATGATTGATGGTGAAGGCACAGATAGTGTCTGTATGTTCAGAGTCCCAAAGTGAAGTGCAGGAAGAGAGGTCTGAAACATGCAGATTTGGCCCTGCATATAATATGGTGGTTACAGACTGGACCTAGGCTTGCTAAGAGAAAGAAAGGAAACATGTCAAATCCATTATTTTGGAAATACAAAATCCAGCTCTTACTCAGAAGTGTTCCCATGGTGCATCTTTACTAGTGCATCACTAGTCAGTCTTTATATTAACCAATCTGGAGATCATTTTAGATGCTCCTCCATGTACTTGCTAAAGCTAACCAATTTGGGTCCAATTTACCCCTTTTCCTCCCTGCCCTAAAATTCCCTCACCATCCTGCTTCTTCATCTTGCCTGATGAAGAAAGAGATCAAAAGTTCATATATTTTTGTTATCTTTGGGTTAACCTAAAAAATTCTTAAACAAACTGGCAATCTTTGCTTTTTCTGTTTAATTTGGATTGCTATGCATCATTAATTTTAGCATTTTTATCAGAGGTGAAACAATAAATGGGTTTACTGTGTTTTCTCCCTCCCTTTTAGGCAGTTTACCATATGAATACAAGATTGTGATAGCAGGCAACCATGAACTGACATTTGACCAAGAGTTCATGGCAGATTTAATCAAGCAGGACTTCTACTATTTCCCCTCAGTATCCAAACTGAAGCCGGAAAGCTACGAAAATGTACAATCTCTCTTAACAAACTGCATATACCTGCAAGATTCAGAAGTGACGGTGAGGGGCTTCAGGATATATGGCTCCCCTTGGTAAGCATTAAAAACCTTAATAATTTTGAATAATACAGGAGTTTCCTATCCATCTTTTCAAGTTTTCATTAATTGCAAAAAAGGAAATATATATGTTAGCTTTCATATATTTTATAATAAGGCTTTCATGTTTAATTTCAATATCAAAACTTTTATTCCTTTAAAAAGCATCCCTGATCAATCAAGCAGTGGCCTTCATTAATTACAACAGAACAATCTGGCTTACCATGAGCATGCTAACAGAAACAGCTAAACAAACCCTGGTTTATGTAGCTTGACTTCCAAATCCAGAATTCTGACTTCTCTCTCCCCCTAACAAGCCAGAGTCATAAGTTAAGAAAAATCACCCTCATCTAAGGCATACCAGTTAGGACATGACATATCTCCCCAGGTTTCCCTCTGGGAGCAGTTTCTGATGCACTAGGCCATTTGAACTCCTCAGGTCTTCGACCCCCATTTCAGGATGATGGTGAATGTCTTCCTATCCAAAGAGAAGGTAAACATCAAGCCCTACAGATCTGTATAAAGAGTCCATAGATGTTCAAGCACTCTGACCATCTTTTCATGACATGCAAGCCAGAGAACAAGGCATCTTGGTACCCAGATCAACTGTAAATAAGATGGTCATTGAATATATTGTCTTAACATACAGGTCCAATAGGTGGTCTTCATTCCAAGTAATTATGATTCAACCAAAGCAGAGCATCTGTCTCTGGCCTCTTGAAGGACATATGTAGCACATTCCATCTTCAAGTAACATTACAAAAGATGTACAAAAGAGGTAATGTACAAAATATTACCTCTGCAATTTATTGGAAGATTCTCAGCTAGTAAGAACTATAGTATGGGATGACACTTCTTGTCCCTTGGATGAATGTAGGCACCATATGTGGAATACCTCTATTATCTACTCTCTCACTCTGCTGACCAAGAACAGGATGTTCTTCTTCATGGTCTCTTTGCATCACACATATGGGCTCTGCACCTTTGTGGAGCATGTTGGTGGGAAGATTTCCAAGCTAGACTCATTCTGGTGGGGGCACCTTCTAAATATACCAGGGGTAGATAGGGGAGGTGCTCCCACCATTTTCCCAGTTCTCTTCCAACCTTTATTGTGGGTGCCTCAGGACAATCTTTCCTAGCATCTTTCGTGTTTTCCCTATGCTTTTTTTTTTCAGCCTCTATTGTGTTTTGGGTTCTTAACTCATTCTCTAACTAGTTCTCTCGTTTTCCTTTTTTGAAAACCCTGCTTTATCGCTAGTTAAAATAAAAAAACTTTAAAAAATCTCCTTCTATTGCCATTTTCTTTCCAAGTATCCCCTTGTCTCTGCTACCATTTTCTTCCTTCTTTTCCAATGGCACTTCAAGTGCCTTTTCAGAAGTGCATCCATTATGGGAGCTGTGTACCTCCAACAGATGGGCACTCACTGTGCCTCTTCTGTCTCAATGGAGAGCACCATTTGGAAGCCTGCCCTCACTGCCAAGTGAAGCAGGCCCAGAAAAAATGGGTGGGGCGGCTCCAGGATGAACTTTGGAGCTGCTCCCATATGGCCATTAGACGCGACCATGGTGGTGGCACCTGAACGCCCATCTACCTCACAGGCCATTCCATCTTCCTGCCTCCTTTGGTGGTTACCAGGGTCCACTGTCCTCTTGGGTGCATGGATGAGTGCCAATGACCCTCCATGTGCAATATGATTTAGTAATTTTTTTTAATTGCATTCTGATAGTGCAGGAGGACACTCTTGTCCAGAGTAACTCTAGTATGAATTGTGCTGTATTGTAGCATTCCTGTGCATTTTCAGAAGCAATTAGAAGCTTATACAGTAATGTGAATATTTGTAATATCTTTTTGCTATTCAATAGCCTGAGTGGTTCACAACAATATAAATGACATTTTTTCACAATTAAGTTAGTACAGAGAAATTTATAAATATATTTGGGCTATAATCATAACCTTGGAAATGTAATTGAGCTCAGTTGAACCAATGTTTGCATTATCTTGGTTAGGTTTGAGCTATACGGTTTTTCAGTATACTAAATAGGCAGTATAAACTCAACACACTAAAATATATTTTAAATATATTTAATTTTGTACCTGCTCATTTTCCTGAGGGTAAATTCTTGAAGTGACTTAATGTTATGCTGTGTAATGTGCCTTTTGTGCATCAGTATGTTGTAACTTACTGAGTAAAAATCCAGGTTCTATTTATTTAACAGAGGGCCATAGTGTCTTTCATGCATTCCACTGTTCCATACAAGTACAAAAACGAAAAGAATAGCATGTGCTACTGGATACCGAATTCAGCTTTTTTGATAGAAGTACTGTTGGTGGGTGATATGTCTGACAGGTTGGATGGCCATTACTCTGTCCTGGATGGGGCTGCACTCCTCCTAAAGACAGGGTTTGCAACTTGGGGGTGCTGCTGGACCCAGGACTATCTTTAAAAGTTCAGATGGCCTCAGTGACCAGGAGCACCTTCCTTCAGCTGTGATAAATTTAACTTTACCCCTACCTGGACAGGTAAAGCCTCCTTACAGTTATGGATGCACTTTTAACATCAAGGTAAGATTTCTGTATTGCACTCTATATGAAGCAGCCTTTGCAGATGGTCCACCATATTCAGCTGGTTCAGAACTGAGCCATGCGTTTGATAACCAGTACCACCTTGCCAGCCCATATTACACCAATTCTTTTCAATAATCATTGATTACCAGTTGTAGCCTGGGCCCAATTCAAAGTGCTTGTTTTCACATGTAAAACTAAACATCTTAGGACCTGGCTACCTAAAGACCCTTCTCCTGTATATATCTGCCTGATCACTAAGATCTGAGCAGGACATCCTTCTAAAGGCGCCAACCCTCAAAGAAGTTAGAGGGGTGGCAAATAGAAGAAGTATCTTCTCGGTGGCTGCCCCCCTCCCCCCACACACACTTATGGAATCAGCTCCCCAGAGAAATTCACTTGGTGCCAACACTTTCTAGTGCCAGGGAAAAACATCTCACTTTTCTAGGTGTTTCAATCAATATTTTTAACAGTTAGTTTTAATGTTTATATTAACCATCATCTTGGTTGTCCTCCCAGTGGTTTTAATACTGACCTAATTATTGTTGCTGTGGTATTAACTATTTAATGTTTGTATTGTATCAGATTATTTTAACTGTTTTTAATGTGCTTGGTATTTTTAAATATTGTAAGCCACCCAGAGACTCCATTGGGGTGACATATAAATGCCTGCATAAATCAATCAATCAATCAATCAAGCAAGCAAGCAAGCAAGCAAGCAAGCAAGCAAGCAAGCAAGCAGATGGAAGGATTGGTGAAGTGGCTGGTGACATCTCAGACAAGAGTTTTAGTAACTGGAAATAAGATCCAGTGGTTTCAGGGTATTCTTTAGTGCCTTGCCAAACTTCCTGTGCCCCTCTGAGCAAAATCAGGATTAAAAAAAAAACAGGTCACAGAATATGGCTGTTCCTTTACTATATTTACTGTAGCCTACATAAAGGGCTAAATATGAATAATCAAGGTGAGGGTATTTGTGTGTGTGTGTGTGTGTGTGTGTGTGTGTGTGAGAGAGAGAGAGAGAGAGAGAGAGAGAGAGAGAGAGAGAGAGAGAGAGCGCATGAGCAAGAGCACATACACTTTAAGACATTGTAACATTTCCTGTTATTTTTTAAACTTCAGTATTTATTGTTCTGAGTTACTGTTTTTTACATCAGCCTGAGATGTAGGAAACAAGTTGTCAGACCTAATGCACATACCTCAGTATGAATTCTAACAGTGTGAATAAACTGTGAAATGTATTGGGTTTTTAAAAAATGAAAATTGGCATTCACCAACTTGTGCTTGTGCTGGGTGTTAATCTTCCCCACCTGCTGATTGTTGTGCATTTATCTAAATTTAAAACTACATTGCACTTGAAAAGCAACCATTTATCTCAAATATCCAAATTGTTTTTGTATTTTTTGCATATCCACCTGCTGTGTTTCAGTTCCATGTTCCAAATTAATTTTTTGTCTCGTACACACACACACACACACACACACACACGTGACCAATACAAAACTAAGATTGGCATTCAGACTATGAAGAGAACATATATCATTCCCAATAGTAATGTTTTCAAGCTTACCACTTGGCACCTATTACTAATTCGTAAGTCTAATGTAAACATAGTAATTATCCTTTGAGAATATTTTTGTTAACTTCCTTGGTATCTTCATAGTTGGCAGCACAGGTAGGTGCAGAAAGAAATTGTAGCAGAGGTGCAAATAAAGGACTGTCAAAAGTAGCTGTAAAGAATATATTTTACTGTTATTGTTACTACTCCTACTCTTATTCATTAATTATATTTATATCCCAACTTTTTAATCTTTCAAGTAGCTCAAGGTTGCTTACAGGCTGTCTCCTTCTTCTCCTCTCAGTTTTGTCCTCACAATAACAACCCTGTGAGGTAGCTTGGGCTGAGGGTCTGTGACTGGCCCAAAGTCACCCAGCTGACTCCATGGCTGAGTGGGGACTGAAACCAGATCTTCTGAGTCCCTGTCCACTTTTAATCATGGGACCACCCTGGCTCTCTATTGTATTATCATTCATTTCTATATCACTCCTTACCTGTAGCTCTCTGGGCAATTTACAACAATCCATAAGAAAAAAACAATAAATTACAATAAAAATAAGTCTTTGGCAATGCTACACCTCAGCAAAATTTTCAATTAAACCTTTTTGTTAGATATATTTGAGCATGACCTTACTCCTTCTGGTGGCAGCTACCATCCTGAATAACTGAGCAGATTCACCTCCTCTTTCCAGCTTCTGCTCGGTGTATAGGTGCCTCTGCCAGAGTCAGAAAGAAATAGGTTCATCAAGGATATTTAGTAGTTTGGGATGCAGGGAAAATGGGGCTAGCATCATGGTTCTTCTCTGTAATTGTACCTCATTTATGGAACATCCTCCCCAAGGAAGTGTGCCTGCTGCCATCACTGCTAGTTTTCCAGCC